GTTAATTATGGTATTGTAACATAATGTTTATAACAGAACTTTTCGTTAGCAATACCAAGTACATTTTATCTAAAAACTATGTAACTTAGATTAAATTATTTGAAATAAATGCAATGTAAATTCAAATGTAAGGTAGAATTGTGTCAGTTTGTTTCTAACGGTTTCAATTATTTATTCCGTACATTAGACGTAACCTCCGGTAAAAAATTACAAATATAAAATTAAAATACGGTTTATCCTTGAAATTTTCATAAAATTTATATTACTGTCAAAGATGTTTTATCACCTACTATCAATCTTACTAGTATCAGTCACGTGGCTGTAATAATATTTTCAAACTTGTCAATTTTTTATGATGGTACATCCATGTATGATAGTTAATCTCTTCATAATGAAAATCCTATTTCTTTTATAGTCAGATGTTTAAATTTAATAATTCTGTCTTAAAAAGAATGCCCAAGACTTTATGAGCAGTAAATGAATTTTCACTTGTATTATAATGTATTGATATAATGGAATTAATTGATGTATGTACACTAATATTTGTAATAATTATTACGGTATATAATGTATACTGAACACAGGCTAACAAATACAATCAATTTCTTTGGTGATGTATGGAAAATTTTATAAAAATGCTTGTTTGTACAAGTGAGCATTTCTAAAGGACCTGAGTATTATAAGGGTAGAGCTTAACATCAGTCCTCATAGTCCAATAAGTCTAATATCAGCAGTATTGATAATGTATCGTCGTTCACGTGGATCATTAAATACTGGAATCAAAATACACTTAGATAAGGTTACAGCTACGATATTTTTAAGTGATTGTGCAACGCAAAAAACTTATGTGTTTATGTTAATATGCATTTGACGAGTTGTACGACCTTTTGAATTACATAAAACCGTTTACGTAATCTCAACTGCACTGCCTGGCAAGAATATGTCATGACAAGGAAATCATTAGGAGTTGGATATAATTTTCTTCCAAGTGGTAAAGTAAGTATCTTATCTATAAAATCTATGGATTCATTTAACGTTTCCAATTATTCCAAAACAATGTAAATGTCAGAACATAAACAACTGTATAGTTTGTTACTTGCTCATTGGAAGCCAATTAACCTACCCATACTATAATGAAGGTATGGAAATACAGCATGCCATCGAATCTAATACCATCTTGGAGGATCCGTTCTACTTAGTTTTCAATAATAAAAAAAAGAAAAAAAAAAAGTACCGCATAGAAAATCTTTGCGCGTCCAACGTGCAAACGAACCTCATCTTCCCTGGCGATGAAAGGTTGCACGTTAGCTGCAATCCAGCTCGTTTTCCTATGCATGGTCTTGCAGTATCAAGAGTCTGTACAATACGACTGTCGACGGCTTACACTTTCAACAGCCGTACGTGTGCCCATGTGTGAGTTTATATGAATCTCAGTCGAGGACGCGCGGCAATTAGAGGAGAATGTACTTTGCGATTCGCGCACGAGCGGGATTATAATTTCCCGCGTATGTGCGCACGTGACCGAGGCTTCAAAACTATTGTAACAAAACGTCATTGTGCGAAAAAAAACGTGAGCTTTCCGGCTGAGCCTGAAAAATCGCTTATCTTCGATTAGTATATCCTTTTATGGATGACGGAATTTACGACTTACTTGGAACACCTCTACGGCGAGTTACACAAGTCCCAATTTCTTCCACGAGCAAAGAAAAAAACGAAACTGAGACGTAGTTGGAAGAGTTAGCAATTGCATCAGAAGCGTTTATTGTCAATAGGATTGATTAGGATCTTATGTTGAAATCAAATAAAAAGTCCTTGATCCAACAGAGGAGTGTATCCCATGACTTTCAGCAAGACTTTGGAGAATTCAAATTTTTGTACATACGTATGTTTGAAAAAATGTTTTATTATTTTTGTGGTTTTTTTATATGTATTTATTATGATTAGTAAAATCGTTAACAAGAGATAAATACGGTCGTAAGATAAACTAACGTGACGTGTTTTTCTATTAATTATTTGAACAGTTGCACGATGCAAAGTGAAAGAGAATTTCTTTGAGAAATATTTATGAAAATGATAAACACTTAAAATATTATTGTACATCACTCTTCCAAACGAAAGATTGAAAATACTTTTAAAATTAGAAAAATAGTACGTGAATGCAGCAATAATACACACACAAAGATCCAAAAAAATTTCATTACAAATGGTTTGTTGTACTTAGAGTACATAGGATGTGCAAAAAAAACAAACTTTGAAAAGAATTGCTAGAAATTTGGAGTTAAAAACTCATCATTACATTCGCTCTATGACAAAATAGGTCTGATGGACAATAATACTCAATTTAACTGTTATGTAACATTGAAACTGTACAATTTGTTCAGTAAGCCTTTTAGATATGTAATAGGATAATTCATGCAGTAATAATTTTAATTTGTTCAGTTTTTTAAATCAAGGTGATCTATTGACATTTTTGTTGATAATACTATTATAAAGACGTAGAGATGCATATTCTTTGTTTTTAATGAAAAAAGTTTTACGTATAACTTACTGTGAGAAAAATTTTTAACAATTGAACAATTTGTTTTGACTTACTGAGATCTAAGCGTTTTTGTGGGGATACAACTATTTTACAAATGCAAAACAAGTAATACGTAAGTCTCTGTAGTTAGTGTTATTCAAAATCTCGAAGGTACGTGCTGCGTTGTGTATATGTCTATCATTAAACAATGAGAAAATTTCTGAGAGTTTAGTATTCATAACACATTCCTCCTAAAAATCAAAAAGTTTTGGTTTGTGTCTTGCTTTTTACATAAGTTATTTTACATGAATTTCAAATTGTCAGACCAAAGTGTTTTTCGTAAAATTTTTCGTAAAACAAAATTAATTACAGTTAATTATGGTATTGTAACATAATGTTTATAACAGAACTTTTCGTTAGCAATACCAAGTACATTTTATCTAAAAACTATGTAACTTAGATTAAATTATTTGAAATAAAAGAAAACGATAAATTTATTATACCTTATTGAATATTATAGTAAACAGTTTTACCGTAACTTTAAAAAATCGTTAAATCTTTATTTTCTTAGAGTTTGAAAAACGAGCAGTAACTTAAGTATTATTTTCTTGTAAATTATTTTATCAAGTAAAATAAAAAAAAAGCCAATAAAAAAAATTTTTTTAGAATATTTAATAAGAGAAAAAATTGTTTTAACTATACAAGCTTTAGTTTAGTTTTACATTCTAACAAGCACAATAAATTAATTAAAAAATAAATAGGATTTTATTTTCCTACTAGACGCATCTAACTTTTATGTTTTTTAAATTTATTTCGACGTTGCTAGAATTACTGGAATATTTTACGTTGAGTTCAGAAAATGTATAAAAAAATTTTAACAGTATATACATATTTCATTTGACTTTTAATAAGACAAATTTTTTTAGTCCCATTTATAGAAATCCAAGGTTCAACTTTTTTTTCGTTTATTTTATTGTAAAAATAAAAGGCAAAAGTTCCAACCTAAATTAAAGAGAACTCAGCGCTCTATTTAATTTAAATTGATGCTAATCTCTTTCTCTCTCAACAAACATATCAATGAAAGCAATATCAAACATAATTTAGCTTGTTAGATCTAACAATTCGCTGTAAATCACGTGAAACTTTCTTTTACTCAAATATATTTTAATATATTACTTACTGGAAGATATCGATACGGTAAAATTTTATTGTAACTATTGAAATTTTTATAAGCCACCAATATTTATGGAGCTGCGAATAAATATTACGACACAAAACAGAGTTACAACAGATCCAGAGTAATCGACTTCTTTCGGTATTTGAAAATAAACTATTGAATAAAAAAACTTGATTTTTAGTTCTTAACTTGAGATAATCTATAATGTCCATATGCATGACGGTAAAAATGAAATGAAAAATAATTTATCAAGGAAATAATTAGATCGATATTTGAAAATTAGTTTTTGCTAACCATTTTTTACGATGTTGGATTAAAAAAAAAAGCTTTGCCCCACAGTTTAATGTATTTTTCGGAAAATTCATTAACAACTTTACCTATACCACATAACAAGTTTTATGTCACAACAATACAACGAAAAATTATGATTTATTGGAAATTATGATTATGATGTATAAAATCTTTAACAAAATTTTAATTAATCGATACTTGATTGTAATGAAATCAATACTCACCTAAAATTCAAAAACTGTTATTTTTTCAAAATGCAAAGAAATGAGTGAAACCTTCAACAACTATTCAGTGTCAAAAAACTGTGTAAATTTTTTTATTTTTTAAATTCGAGCACATAATACAAGCTCTCAAAGACAAAAAAAAATTATGCTCGTTTTTCATTAATTAAAAAAAATGTTTGAAAATTCACACAGTTTCCTGACACTCCAAATAGATACCCACAAACACATAGAATTGTTAAAAGTTTCACTGATTTCTCTGCATTTCGAAAAAAATATTGAACTTCCTTAAGGATTCATGAAGCTGAATAGTAATTACATGTACAGTGGCATAAACTGGTTACTCTACAATAGCCCCCGAGAATTTTTAAAAAGTACGATGGTTGACGAAGGTTCACAAACTAGAAAGTTGATTCCATCACGAAAGCAAATACGTTGGTCATATATCCTTGAACGTCAACCCCGAAACAGTTTCGCAAAAATGAACGTATCTATGAAATTGAAAGTGGTGTAAAAGTACTCTGTCATTATTTTAAATGCTTTTTTTTATAAAAAATGGATTGTCTCGCTGTGCAACTATTCATAATAATAAGACAATTTATCATTTTTTTTTTTTTTTTGTTTAATTTTAATCTTACTACAGACTTTGTACAACACTATAATTATTACACACTAAATATACGATGACAACTTCAAAAATCGATAGAACCGAGTTTTTTTGTTAACACACCCTTAAAAACACACTCCCTAAACTCAAGTGAGCAGGAAAAAAAAATGAAATAAAGGGGCAAACCTTGGCATGTTGTTATTGTCCCGGGCTATCATGTATAGGGTGGAGACACTTTTCCCGGCTGCAAACGAAAATTCTACTTCAAGCAGGAGCGGCGAATTTGCTTCTCGTCACGGCTCCTCATCGCTCTTCAGCAACAAATCAAACGAATCAACAACAACACTCCGCTAAACTATTTTCAAACAGTCCCACTAAGGAAACTGAACTCGACGGGCATCGAACAGTCGCACCATTCACTCCGACCCACGCAGAGCTAAATTTTTCATTAA